AAAACACCATGCTTTAATACATATGCTATTAGTTGCTCAAGCTTGAGATCTACAACTTTTTATATTTTTATCTTACTCATTCATCAGAGTAGGAACCTTCAAAATCCTCAAAAACTAACATTTTGAACAAAAACTCGTAAGAGGTAAGAGTGTCGTATCAGCTTCTGGAAAGAACATTGTAGACAGAAGTAAAGATTGGTGCAAGAACCCTAAGGCAGGGAGAATGGGGAGAGTAGCAGGAGATGAGTCATGGCAGGACTGATGATATCCTAAGGACTCTGGCATTTCATTGTGAATATCTGAGGAGTCATTGCTGAACCTTGAGCAGAACCGTCAAGAATCATTGTGGCTGTTGTGTTGTGAAGAAATGCTAGGAAGAGGCCATGGGCAAAGCCTGGGAAAGTTGTTGAAAATGTTTGGTGAGAATTTAAGTAAAAGGTGATTTACATGACAAGGAGGCAGTAGTGTAGGAGGTGAAAAATTGCCAGCTTCTGAACATACTTTGAAAATATAGTCAATCTGGTAGATTAGGTGCAGAGTGTGGGAAAAAAGAAGAGTTGTGTATAAAGTTTGGGCCTAAACAACTGGAGACAGGTACTGGCAAAAATGGAAATGCCTGCTGGATAATTTGGTGTTGAGGCATGGACCACCATTTTATTGTCTAAAATTTTTAATTTTATGAATGACAAGATAAATAGGTATGAAAAATCTCCACAGATCTCTATAAGTTTTACTTTATTCTTCTATTTTCATTTCAGTGTGTTGGTTTATGAGTACAATACAGCTTGATCAATGTCATCCTTTACATCATTCTACCCCATCTGTCCTAATTCTACCCATCTCCTCCATTTTTCTAGTTTTATTTTCACATCTGTACATTGAATATTATGACTGCATTCATCCACCCTTCCTCTCTCCACCCAAGCTGTTTAGAGAGTTTTTCAATTCAACATGTTAATTAATGGGCACAATGCATGTTGATCAATTGAACCCCTTTGGAGGTGTTGATTTTGAGATGTCTGTTAAAATATCCAAATATAAAAGCTCAACAGGCGTAAGCAGGAGGTATGACTTAGAGCTAGGCTGAAAACAGGAATTCCACAAGTGATGTGAATACCTCTGGGCTTTCAACACATTGATGTGAGACTTGAAACATGGAATGGGAGGTTGAGAAAGCAGTGTGGACCAATAGACTCTTCTTCTTTGATTGTTTTTTTTTTTTGTTTGTTTGTTTTTTTTTTACTGATTCTATATATGGTAAATCAGTGACCACAAATCAGAAGATTATATATTTATAAAATGTTTCCTTTGCCTATTCTTAGTTGTTTCAGTTGTCACTGCCTAATTCTCTAGGACATCTTATCTCTAGACACCTTGGGTATTATTGGGCTAGCACAGTAACAATTTGGAAGTTGACACATACACCCTCATTTCCCCCACATGCGTGGAATTAATTATTGTCTCTCAAAATTCGAAAACTTTAAGAAAGAGCTAAAATATGTAGATTTATAATCTACTATTTGTCAGTTTATGATATAGTAACCACAGTTATGAAATAATGCAAGGCTATTTATTGAGTTAAAATTTCATAAAATAATAGTATGTTGTGTGTGTATGTGTTGTGTGTGTGTGCCTGTGTATCTGTGTGTGTGTGTGTCTGTGGATAGAGGTTAGTGATTGCAGGCACCAAAATGGAAAGTCAAAGGAGAGAAAGTAATTATGTAAATTGTATTTCTTGAAGGCATTTAGAATTTTTAATTCACATACTCTAAGTTTCTGGAAGCACATTTAGTTCCTGTTTTGAGAGATGAAAGCCTTACACAGCTTCATCTGCAGGCTTGTGGCAATATGAATTCCTCCTGTGTGTACGTGCACGGAAGAGTAGAAGTGGCTGAGTGGGCAGTTGGCAGCCATTCATCGATTTGATTGCAGTCATTCATAAAATCCAGCAGTGCTGAGGGTGGAGTCAGGAGGAGCATTCCCCTGAGGTGGTTGCAGAATATCTCATTTGCATAAGTCTTCAGCAAACCTTGAGAATGCTTATAAGCGGTTATAAGGCTATTCAGAGTCCATATTTGTTAAATTCTCTGTCATTAAAGGCATCACAAAGACTAAGAGGTTAAAGCTCCTGACCTTCAAGCAGTAGTGATTCCAGGAAGTTAGCATTAGAACAGCATTTGTGGTCTCCCAATATGTGTCTAGCTGTAGGAGGCCATCAAGCATAATGCTGCAACATACTGAAATGCCATTGCTGTGTTTCTTGAAGAAAAAGAGGCCCCTATTATATTATGTCTAATGCCTAGAAAACAATGACAGTTGTTGGGACTAAACATACATTAGAGCTATCTGGTTTCTGCCACTTTAAACTGAGACACAATTTGATTATAACTGAATTTTAGAGAAATAATCTATACAAGGTAATGAACATCGTATGGGCTATAATACTGTAACCTCGATATGCCTTGTTCTAATCATTGGATACTTTCTTAAATCTAGAAAGAGTTTTTATATAAAACAATTCAGATTAGAAATGTACATATTATGATTAAGATATTGATTAATTAGCAATCTAAAAAAAATTCAGATTCAATAGCTACTACATCACTAGTGATATGTGTCTTGTGGTCAGGGTGAGATCATTATGAAATGTGGTATTCTGTTGTTTTAGGATAAGTTAAATTCTAAATATGTAATTTCTGAAGAGTAATAGACTTGTTTCTATTATCTAATAAAAGTAATATTCAGAAATTCAACTTGAGGTTTTGATATCAGAAATATTCTTTAGCATATGCTGACAGGAATGTCAACTACTGTAATTTAAAACCCAAGTTTGAAAACAAAACAGAACAAACAAACTCACTGGGGTTTGAGGTTAGATAAATGCTCTTGCAAAGGCTTGCATTTGGGAGGAAAATTGGCTTAGAAACCCACCCAAGCTTGGTATTCTTAATTTCTTAGAAAATAATCACTTCAGAGCATATGTAAAAGAACCACTAGGTGATAGAAGTATTATTATTGGGGATTGAAGTATTATTATTATTATTTACTGGTGTGGTACTGGGGATTGAACTCAGGGCCTCAGGCTTCCTAGACAGCAGCCATATCTCCAGCCCCCATTTTTCATTGATATTTTTCAGATTAGGTCTTTCATTGTGCCAGGCCTAGTCTTCTACATAATCTTATTTGTGTTTCTTCATGTTGCTGAGAATGACAGGCACACATCACGGCACCCAGTCATTGGTTGAGATGGCTAGCCTCTAATTTCAATCCTCCCCTCTTTCTCCCAAGATGCTAGGATTATAAACTTGAGCTACTGTGCCCAGCTGATTTCTTTTAGTTTGATGTTTTATATAAATGCCTGGGACTTGAGAAGAGAAAAATCAAAGAGAGGAAACAAGATTTTTCACACTTACAATTTTTCACAATTTTTCCAAGTTGGTGATATTTTAGATATTTTCACACACCAGCTCATGTAGATTAAATATACTGCCTAGGCTATTTTTAATTAACTGAGAATTGTTCATGATTTTTCTGTGCTACTTTCTGTATCTAATATAAGTTAGAATGAAATTCCAGGGTTCAGAAATGTTAATATATTGTTTATTCTAACAACTTGCTTCATTGAAGTTTTCTGAAGGGCTTTCTCCCCCTGGAGAAGGTTTTATAGATCCTGTAGATGTTTCTCGCCAATCCATTGAGAGTTTACCAATAGCTGTTAACATCACATTTCTTTACCTTTATTTTGACCACCAGATGTGTTGAGGCTTTGAAATGGCACCGTTTTCTTTCTTGTCTGATCTTGTTTGGAATAGGCAGTGAGTGTGTATGTGTGTGTGTCTGTGTGTGTGTGTGTGTCTGTGTGCGTGTGTCTGTGTGTGTGTTGTGTCTGTGTGTGTCTGTTGCTGTGCATTGTGTCCTTGTTTCCCTGTATCATTTCTTTCAGAAGTGGAGAATTTTGCCATGCAGCTTCTAGCTTTGGGAAAATAGTGAATCAAGCACTGTTTCACCAATGTCCCATATCTGGAAAAAAAAAAAAAAAAGACTGGCAGTGTCATCAAATCTCCAAGAAGCTTCCACAAAAACTTTCCAGGAATGTGGGGATCTTAAGGAACAGTTCCCCTTAGCCAAAATCTAAGGTGTAGGGTCTCGGTTTTATCAGCAAGGTTTCCCTTACTCAAGGTTGCGTTTGATTTAAAGCTTTGGAGGTGAAGGAATATCCATGTTTTAGAAGTACAGCTGCAAATTAAAGTTCCTTTCTAATTCTGCCCAGTGATTCTACCCCATGCTCAATAAGCCCGGTTCCCTCAGAGTAAGAAAAGCCATCTATGTCTGCTGCACTTTGGGTTTGTGGTATACTGTCTGCTTTCTGCATTTATTTTCTGGCAAAAGATTTAAGGCATGGAGTCATTTTAAAATTTTTTCTTTTGCATTAGAAATTATCTTTTCTTATTTTACATATACACCAACAGATATACATTTCATAGGTGCAAATTTCCTTCCAACTGTTACTTCTCTTTTGTAGGGAGAGGATTTGAAACAGAGGATGTCTGGAGGCTTGTTAGGGTCTGCTGTGTGGTGATTAACAGTGTGAAGCATGAGTCTATATCTTTTAGTAAAATAGCCAACACCATAGAATATGCTGGTTTATTTTAAATATATCAAACCCAACAGCGGTTCCTATTTTTAAGCTTTTAGCTATCTTTACATGGTAAGGGCAAATCTTTCATTACCTTTTCTGCTATGGGGAAAGTTGCTGACAATCATTTTACTGATACTTAAAGGAAAATCAAATGTGGAGGCTAGCACAGACTTTATTTGGGTCTAACTGAGTGGAAGCCAAGTCAAAGATATGCAACTCCATAGCCCTTTCTAGAACCTGGAGGTTAATACTGAAGGGGCTTGCAAAGACTTTCCCTTAGAGTGTGTTTTCAGTATGGTGTTTAATTTGTTCTACCCTGTTATAATTAATAGTGCGTTGTGCTGTCTATCATGCGCCCCAGGTGTGTTGTCAGGGACATGGCGAAGCCTGCTGCCTGCAAAACACCAAGAAATGCTGAAAGCCAGCCCCACCAACCTCCACCGTAAGTATGGCATTGGTTTTATTGACTGAAAAATGTACTCTCTTACACAGATTACTGGGTACAGATTGATTAATTCACATTGCATGTTGGAGTAGATACTCTGGCTTTTCTGGTATGTGCATACTAGAAAAGACTACTAATTAGATAAATTTATCTGGAAACATGAGCTCTGAATCAAGTGTTTTTATGAAGTAATAATTCCATATTACAGGCTCCAAATAATTAGAGGCAAAGGAAACTTAATCTTAGGGCTAAAGAATAGTAGCAGTTGTCATTATTTTTTCTTATTCATTTATTTTTGGTTTCAAAAGGCATGTGGGTTGGAGTATAAGACTTTAGGAAAGCACTGAGTGTTCATGACTCACCTATAATCCTAGTTACTCAGGAAGTTGAACTCTGAGGATCAAGGTTCAAAGCCAGCCCAGACAGGAAAGTGTGTGAGACTCTTATCTCCAATTAACCACCAAAAAGCCAAAATTAAGGTGTGGCACTAATGAGGGGAGAGAAATAAGCTAAACGAATCTATAATACTCTGAGTTCAAGTACCAATACACACACACACACACACACACACACACACATCAAAAACTTTAGGGAAGTAAAATCATTCTACAAATAAGATATTAAGACAGGATGGAGTAGGGGTTGGGGAGGCAGGATGTATCAATAAAGGAATAACTTTCATTATATTACTTAAAGGTAATGGATAATTAAAAGAGTTTTATTTTTATTATTGCTTTCTTGGGTGCAGGTATGGCTGATTATTAAGTGATCAACCACAGGGCATAGAGAAGAAACCAAGTATGTAAACACTAACTTCAAATATGCCATTTGATGAGATAAAATGTAAAGAGTATTGGCAGTGTGCAGAGTAACATTATTCATTCAGTTCTCTGAATATAGTGACGTTCTGTGTAGGAAAAGTTAAAATTTCTTTTAAATGTCTCAGCAGCAATAGCACCAGCAATATTCTTAGCCTAAACACTACAGCCATGTAGTTATGACTGGGAAAATGCTTTTATACAAGGCCTGTAGCAAAAGCTTTGGGAGAAATATGACTTTTTCTTTATTTTTAAAACTATCTTCTAGTAGTAGACAGAGAGATTTGATTTCAACATGTCAGTTTCTGAGTACAGTGCGTCTTGATCATTGTCACCTCTTTGATCATTTTCCTGGTCTCTCCCAACCCCACCCATTCCTTCAATTTTCCTAGTTCTGTTTTCATATGTGTACATTGAATACTATGATTGCATTTTCCCACTTGCTGTCTGCATTCTTTTGGCCTCTCCTCCACTTTACATCTCTTAAACCAAAGTTCCAGCTTCCTAGGATCAATTTTATTAAACAGTAAGGTAGTTGTTGAAAGGAGTAATACCATTTCTTCAGGGTGATTTTTCCACAGATTTCTTCAGCCATCTTAGAATTCTTTCACGTAAACCAAAATAAAGTGATACAGCAATAAAAGGGCTAGAAAGAAAAATTAAATTTTGGTGACTATTTTACTATGACAATTTTCTATTAATAATGATGAAAATTAAATAAAAATCATTTTTTATCAGGAATATAATTTTATTCAGAAGATTGGTTGTGCTATTTTATTCCACTGAATATTTAGAGGGCTTCACATTTTATGTCAGAGCAAGGTGCATTTAAAACTCAAGAGTTCATAAATTTAATTTCTTCTCTATGACTTGTTTCCCATTTTGTTGATCATTGAATGCCTATGTTTGGTATATTACATACAGGAACAAATAATTTGAACTTATTTAAACTTCAGCTATAACATTTAAAATGATATTCCAGAGGCTCAGTGGATGTGTTATAGATTTTTTCGATAACATATTTGAATACCATCTTCTACATTTAATTAACTATAGTATTTTCCAGGAAATAGTTTCAAGAACAGTGAAAGTGACTTATGATTGCATTGATAAAAGCAAAAAAATATGGAAGAAGGATTTTATATATCCTTTTCTATATTTTTCCCTACAATTTTTTTTGGCAATATTGGACTTTGAACCCAAGGCTTTGTACTTGCTGCTCAGGCACTGTATCTTATGAGCCTTCTCTCAGGCCATTATTATCTTTATTTCTTTTGAGGTGTAGTGTCACTAGGTTGCCCTGGCTGGTGCTCCTCCTGCCTCAACTTTCTGAACAGCTGGGTCTTCAAGAACATTCCACCAAGCCTGAGATCAAATTCTGTAAATGATCTTATCTAAAACTATTTCCTATGCTAGAACTTTCCTTGATAATTTCACAGAAAACCTAGGTCTTTCCTTCACATCTTTGATTTTAGGAGTTAGAAAACTTCATTGAGATTAAAGTTATTTCTGAGAAAGAATTTTGGGGAACTAAGGTAGATTTTAAATTATTTCTATGCCATTTATTAAGTTTCAATGATATTTATCTTTCACTTTTTTATTTTGTGATGATGGGAATTGAACCCAGTGCCTATATACAGTACTTGCTTAAGCAAGTATGCTACCACTGAGCACCCCTCAAAACCCACTAAGTTCCATTTAAATTGGTCCCATTCATTCCAATTTCAGTGTTAAACTGAACTTTATTAGATAAACAGTGGCAATTTTTATTTTTTCCAAACTGACCTTTTTCCCCTTCTTTCCTTATAAAAAAAAAAAACATAAAACAAAAACCCTCAGACTTACGGTTGTGGGAAATTTGTCATAACTAGGATAGAACCTAGTAAAACTTTCCTGGTGTCTCTTCTGAGTTTATTGGGGAAGAGACAACAGCAATAGGACCTTTGCCTTTTTCTTTATGATAGTTTTTTTGTACCCTCTGTACTCCTTGGATTAAAATAGTTCACTTCTCTGAAGGTGATTGCAAATATTTAGAGTCTAAATTTATTCCTTATTTCTGTTAATTTTGATAGAGAGATATTTGTGAATTGAGCTGTCCATAAATGCATAAATGGCTTTCTAGTTAGATACAGAAAGAGCAATTTAAAAGTAGGGATTTTTGAAAGATGGGCTTTTAGTCTATAGGGAAATGCTTACAAGTTACTATTCACTACCCGTAAGTGTATCCAAAAATGATAAGCACTAGTAAGTAGAAATTGTTTGAAATTTTTAAATGAGATAGAATAGAAAATGTAAGTGGGTAAAATTAGTAACATATGACAGAATTTAGAATTCTGTATGTGCTAAGTGGGTCAAAATATAACATTTAATATATGTTACATTCAGTTATGTGAATTACACTAATTAATTTCAACTAAGATACTGGGATAGCCAGATTTGCATGATATTCATAAATGTGTCTATGTATAAAGTATCTGTTACATTATTTGACACAAGTAGGGAAAAATCGAATATAGATGTGATGTTTGCAAAACCAGAGGCAATTAATTCAGCCAGCAGATTACTTCAATAGTCCAGTGATGTGATGGTCTTGATTTGGCATGATGGAAGTCCATGGAGACACTTCCAATGTGGGGTAAGAAGTGATACAGGTGATGCTTCATAGGCAGTTTAACATGTTTGTAAGGAACATTTTTGAGGGGGAAGGGTGACACGGGAACTCTATATTAATAGTTTGAGTGAAGGAGACCTTGATTAAGTAGTTAAAGATGTTAGTCGCATCAGGCAATATGTGCAATGGTTAAGTTCAGATTTTGACATAGTGGTTTGTGGTACTTGTAATTTATATAAGGGTGTAGATACAGCAAATATTTGAATTTATGAACCTGAAGCACTCATGAAATGGAGAAGTAGGTGACATCATCAAATAGAAATATAGCCTAGGGCCCTAGGTAATACCAGGGATTAAAGAATGGGAAAAGGAAGGAGATCTTCTAACACAGCTGATGAAAACGGTGGTTTGTAAAGGTGAGGGTCAGAGTCAAGACAGTGTGGGATTCACAGGGGATTTCTACACTTTCAAAGAAAACAGAAAATCAATAAGTAACAGTTAAAAATATCCCATGGTTTTGATCATGTAGAGGTCATTGGTAGTATTTGCCATAAAAGGCTTACCAGATCAGCAGGTAGAAATGTTCTATTTTTGAGTGGCTTGAGGAAGAAATGAGAAGTCAGGGGAAAGAGAGGGTGCAAGTACTTGATGTTTTTGTTTATAATGATTTGCTTTTGTTGTTGTTGTTGTTGTTTTAAAGAATCAGTATTGGGGATTGAAGTCAGGACCTTGCCCTTGCTAGGCAAGTGCTCTATCATTTGAGCAAGGCTCTCAGTCCTCTATTCCTTTACTTGGTTTTTCACATAAGGTCTCATGCTCTTTCCTGGGCCAGGCTTAGACCAGGACCTTCCCACCTCCACATGGGATTTCAGTTGTAGGTCACCATGATCAGTTTTATATATGACTTTTCAAGAAAATTTACTGAATACAGAGAGGTAGAGAATCTTGTAGATAGATGGAAATCAAAGTGACTGTATATATGTTGTTTGCTACATTCTATTATACAAATCGAAAATGAATACAAATATCAATATATTGCATATTTTTGATAACTACATATAAAAACAATCTGGAGTTCATTTTAGTTATCATTCAAGTTTCAGTCATTTTAAGCCCTCTGCATGATTAGTCATCATTAATGGAAACAACAAATATATTAAAATGTTCATGGAGTTCAAGAAGTGTAATTTTCTTGAATTTTTATTGGATAAATGAGATAGAATCTTACTTATTCGGCTGGGAAGGTGGCTCAGTGGTAGAGCACTTGTCTTGCATGCATGAGGCCCTGAGTTCGATTCCTCAGCACCACATAAGCAAAAAAAAAGCTGGAAGTGCACTGTGGCTCAAGTGGTAGACTGCTAGCCTTGAGCTGAAGAGCTGAGGGACAGCCCTCAGGCCCAGAGTTCAGGCCCCACGACCGGACCAAAAAAAAAAAAAAATAAAGAATTCTTACTTATCTTGCAGTTGCAAAAGGAAGAGATAGTTATATAATTAAAAAATTAGTGTAACATGATGAAATATGCTAATGTAGAATTATGTCTAAGAGAAAAAGTTATTCTATGGGATTA